ATTTAGATTGCGATGGATTTCTAATAGCGGCTGGATTTTCTAAAGATGCTTACCGTTCAGTCGTTGAATATAAACCAAAACCCGAAGATATCTTCATTGCAACGTATCCAAAATGTGGTACAACATGGATGCAATATATTGTTACTTTAATTCTTAGAAAAGGAGAACCATTTACCGATGGTTTGGATTTTTTTAAGAATAGTCCCTTCTTAGAAATGACTGGAGCGGATGCCATTGAAACTATGAGAAAACCCGGTGTGTTGAAAACCCATCTTCCAATTCATCTAGCTCCTTTCGCTCCCGAAGCAAAATACATTTATGTAGCAAGAAATCCTAAAGATTGCTGCGTATCTTTTTATTATCATACAAAATTATTTTCTCCTTATAATTTCGAAAACGGTACCTTCGAGGATTATTTCGAAGTTTTTATCAGAGGGGAAGTTGATTGGGGAGATTATTTTGATCACTTACTTGGATGGTACGAGCATAGAAACGATCCTAATGTACATTTTACAACTTACGAAAACATGAAAAAAGATATTCAAAGTGAAATATTTAAAGTGGCATCATTTCTTGGTGATGAATATTTACATATATTACAAGAGGACAAAACTGTATTGGATAATGTTCTTCGTTATTGCAGTTTAGATTATATGAGAGTTAACATGAATTCCCTAATGAAAGAATTTTACGAAAAATTAATTGAGGGTTCTTTCGATGAAAATATACTTCCTTCCGGTTTAAAAGCATTGAAGAAAAATATCAGAGCATCTATAGAAGATAAACAACATGATGTCTTAAAGAAAGAAGGCGATAAAGAAATAGCTTTCGTTAGAAAAGGAGTGGTTGGTGATTGGAAAAATCATTTTACTCCCGAACAGGAAAAGATTTTAGAAGAAAAAATTCGAGAAAAGACTAAAGACAGCGATGTTATGAATTTATGGAAAGATATTTAGATTATATTTTACATAGATATAGAGGTTATGACTGATTTTGAATAGGGAATCATTGAAATTTCCTATTCAAAATGAATTTTAATTTTGTTGGGATATTTTTGGTTTTTGTTTTAAATTTAAGTCATGATAATAATATACAGTAGAGCCTCGATTATCCGACCCCCGATTAACCGTCACCTCGGTTAACCGACCGTCCTAGTGGGCAAATTTCAATTGTCCACTAGTGATGTGGCGCTACAATATTTGGCGATGTCTTGGCTACTGTAATATTATTTTTACGTGTTTTAGATGGCAACACTGGATGGACCATGAAAGGAAGCCAGAGGCTTAATTTTCTAATTTTTAACGATACAATAGTGACGATTATTATTTTAAAAAAATTTTGTTAGGCTTAACATCGATGAAAATTCAACGCGAAGTAGGTTAATAGCGATATACTAATTACATGGGATATAATAATATACTACACTAATAATGGATTTTTTCATACTTTTCGGTTATCCGACTTTTCAATTATCCGACCAACCCCAGTCCTCAATTGGGTCGGATAATCGAGGCTCTACTGCACTTGTATTGTCTTATTATAAAATGATATGCGTATTATATTCAAAGCTTGATTAGTTTTGAATAATATTTATGATCTGAAAAATCGTGATATGTCACAATGCTAAGTGTGGGACTACTCACATGAAATGCTGAGTGGTCCCACGAAAGACGAAGTGCTTTATTTAGATGAGAACACGTTTGACGGATATGTATACAGACGTAGCTCTAGTTGAAACTGAGCTGTAGGAGCACAATGTTATCTTGTTACATTAGAGCATGAAAATCACCAACTGTAAATCCTGAGACCGGATGGCCCGGTAGTTAGGATGTCTGTCCACTGTCCTGGGGGACTCTGTAATCCGGAGTGATCGAAAACTTCAGGAGTTTTTCAGGGGAGTGGGTCTTCCTTCTATGTGGGATCCTGTCTCTCACCACTCTGCGGCTCCATTGTGGGATTGGCGGAACCCATAATGCGATTAGTATAAAGATTCTCTTGGTGCCCCAGAGTGGAAAGAGTTGTAAAATTTACCGCATTATCTGGTATTATGCTTAAAATAAATAAAATGTAATGTTTCACACTTTAGTAACGACTTTTGAATTTCACCTAAAAGTCAAATTTTGAATTTTCAATATTGAAACAAGTTAGGCAGCTGCCCCTAAACAAACTAGAATTTTTGTGTTTACTCTCATAATAAGGTTATTCGGCCGAATTCGATTCCGGGTTCCTTAAAACGGTAGGCTGACGCCTTAACCGCTTTGGCCAATCCGGTATAAATGTATTATTATGAAACTGTTTTATTACATTACACAGTATAACCTCGATTATCCGAGGTTCGGCGCTATCCGAGGCAAACCGTAAGTGAATACACTACTCTTTTTATACTTCTATTTATCCAAGTAATTCATCTAGGATCGGCTCAAACGACGGTGCAACACCTGCAATTACACGGGACGGCAAGCTTGTTTAACGTAATGGTTTTTAAAATTTTAAACGTTGATTTGAAGTTGGCCTGGGAATGCAATGGTAAGGGACTGTAAAATTAGGCTGATTCTGATTCTAGGACTATCTTATATAAAATTACCAACATTTATAATTAATTTTTTACATTATTTGATTGTATTTCTGTAAAGTCATGCCGAATTCTGTAAATTTTTTTTTGATAATTACGATAAATAAAATATTGTTTTTCACAATATTTGTAATTTTTACATTAGTTTTATTTAACATCTTAATAGCCAATCTTCATTCCATCACCTTTTTTAAACCAGATGTCAGTGTGGCGTTTGTGGTGTCAGCCTGGGTGTTTGTGCTTATTATCACTGGTGTGATAAGTCCTTATTATCTACCTCACATTAGTAGATTTTAAATAAATTTAATTATACCAAGGGCAAAAAACAATAGAGAGGTTGCGGCCGACGTATACGTGTACGTCGGACGCGAAAACGTGTACGTCGGAAGTTTTCCTAAAGGCCTAGAAGTTTGGCAATGGTGTTTGGGACGTCGAGCATGATTCCACTGACTATCCAAACACCATAATCAAACTTTTAGATTTATAGGAAAGCGGCGCTGAACGTCCGACATACACGTTTACGCGTCCGACGTACACGNATGGGATATAATAATATACTGCACTAATAATGGATTTTTTCATACTTTTCGGTTATCCGACTTTTCAATTATCCGACCAACCCCAGTCCTCAATTGGGTCGGATAATCGAGGCTCTACTGCACTTGTATTGTCTTATTATAAAATGATATGCGTATTATATTCAAAGCTTGATTAGTTTTGAATAATATTTATGATCTGAAAAATCGTGATATGTCACAATGCTAAGTGTGGGACTACTCACATGAAATGCTGAGTGGTCCCACGAAAGACGAAGTGCTTTATTTAGATGAGAACACGTTTGACGGATATGTATACAGACGTAGCTCTAGTTGAAACTGAGCTGTAGGAGCACAATGTTATCTTGTTACATTAGAGCATGAAAATCACCAACTGTAAATCCTGAGACCGGATGGCCCGGTAGTTAGGATGTCTGTCCACTGTCCTGGGGGACTCGGTAATCCGGAGTGATCGAAAACTTCAGGAGTTTTTCAGGGGAGTGGGTCTTCCTTCTATGTGGGATCCTGTCTCTCACCACTCTGTGGCTCCATTGTGGGATTGGCGGAACCCATAATGCGATTAGTAAAAAGATTCTCTTGGTGCCCCAGAGTGGAAAGAGTTGTAAAATTTACCGCATTATCTGGTATTATGCTTAAAATAAATAAAATGTAATGTTTCACACTTTAGTAACGACTTTTGAATTTCACCTAAAAGTAAAATTTTGAATTTTCAATATTGAAACAAGTTAGGCAGCTGCCCCTAAACAAACTAGAATTTTTGTGTTTACTCTCATAATAAGGTTATTCGGCCGAATTCGATTTAAAACGGTAGGCTGACGCCTTAACCGCTTTGGCCAATCCGGTATAAATGTATTATTATGAAACTGTTTTATTACATTACACAGTATAACCTCGATTATCCGAGGTTCGGCGCTATCCGAGGCAAACCGTAAGTGAATACACTACTCTTTTTATACTTCTATTTATCCAAGTAATTCATCTAGGATCGGCTCAAACGACGGTGCAACACCTGCAATTACACGGGACGGCAAGCTTGTTTAACGTAATGGTTTTTAAAATTTTAAACGTTGATTTGAAGTTGGCCTGGGAATGCAATGGTAAGGGACTGTAAAATTAGGCTGATTCTGATTCTAGGGCTATCTTATATAAAATTACCAACATTTATAATTAATTTTTTACATTATTTGATTGTATTTCTGTAAAGTCATGCCGAATTCTGTAAATTTTTTTTTGATAATTACGATAAATAAAATATTGTTTTTCACAATATTTGTAATTTTTACATTAGTTTTATTTAACATCTTAATAGCCAATCTTCATTCCATCACCTTTTTTAAACCAGATGTCAGTGTGGCGTTTGTGGTGTCAGCCTGGGTGTTTGTGCTTATTATCACTGGTGTGATAAGTCCTTATTATCTACCTCACATTAGTAGATTTTAAATAAATTTAATTATACCAAGGGCAAAAAACAATAGAGAGGTTGCGGCCGACGTATACGTGTACGTCGGACGCGAAAACGTGTACGTCGGAAGTTTTCCTAAAGGCCTAGAAGTTTGGCAATGGTGTTTGGGACGTCGAGCATGATTCCACTGACTATCCAAACACCATAATCAAACTTTTAGATTTATAGGAAAGCGGCGCTGAACGTCCGACATACACGTTTACGCGTCCGACGTACACGTATACGTCGGCCGCAACCTCTCTAATTTCTTTATATCTTTGAACCTAATGAACTACAATTCAAATAAAATAAACTTAAATATTTATTGACATAGAAGATGACATATTGAATAATTGTTATAAAAATAATCCAATATTTGATATACAAAGACTAAAATTTTAATCATACGACAAGTATTTCATTCGTTTTCTTCATAACCTAAATGATACATCAACAAGTTTTTAAGATACTAATATAAAAAAATTGATATATGCAGTTCTAAATAATACCAAAAATTTTAATAATATAAAATACACTTATGCTTGTTATTTTACAAATATAATTAAAAAATTACACATTAAATGCAAAAAAATCAGTTAAATTTTAATTCATATCGTATTGTTACACAGTATAACTATTCAAAATCTCGAACTGCACTTATTACAATCAAAAGAAATAACAAAATTATTTATTCCATAATTTCATCAAATCACTACCTTTTGTTTTTTCTTTAATTCTTTCTTCCATTCTCCTTTCCTGTTCGGGACTGAAGTGGTTTTTCCAATCTCCGACTATACCTTTGCGAATAAACTGGCCACCTACTTTTATCGAGAAACGGGGATGTTTCTTCATATATTCACCAAATGCTCTAACTCCAGACGGCAGACCCGGATTATCAAGATGATCCGAGGTTTTTATAAACATATCATCAAACGATTCATTCATTGTTTTTTTCATGTAGCTGACACTACTACACTCGAGAACTTTATCGAGAATATCCGGATTATTTACTAAAGTTTCATAATGCTCCTTTCCCATAAATTTTGCTAACTTTAACACTTCTCCTCGAGTATCGCTTTTCAAATCTTCATAAGTAAGGAAGTAGACGTTGGGATCATCCTTATGCTCGTACCACGATAAGTGATGATCGAAATAATCCCCGAAATCTGTTTCGCCTTTGACGAAAAGTTCGAAATATTCATCGAAAGTGCCATCGCCGAAGTTATAAAAACCAAACAATTTTGTATGATGGTAAAAAGAAACGCAGCAATCTTTAGGATTTCTTGCAACGTAAATATATTTTGCGTGGGGCGAAAATGGTGTCAGACTAAAAGGCAAATGAGTTTTAATTGCCCCGGGGTCTTCCATGTAGTCTAATGCATCGGCTCCTGCAAATTCTATGAAAGGAGAGTTCTTTGCATAATCCAACGCATTTGCGAAAGTCCGCCCTTTTCTCACGATGCACATGATTATGCATTGCATCCACGTCGTTCCACATTTCGGATACGTTACCACATATATTTCTCCCTTTTTTGGTTTGTACTTGATTGCCGAACGAAATGCCTCCGGCGAGAATGCTCCTGGTAAACGGAAACCGTCGACATCTATGTAGTTAGGTCTTTTGATTTCGTCTTCCATTGTAACCTGCGATAAGAAAATATAACAATAATACTCGTTAAAATGTTAAGCACATAAGATTGAATTATTCTCCAACAGAGTTATGTATATACTAGAGAATAAGGAAAATTAAAGCATTTTTGCTTTGAAGACATAATTAAAAGTTAATGATTTGCAATTAAGAATTTAGTATTTTAACAATTCTATATGTTTTCAGTAAAAGTAATTCAGATATCATCAGCAATTCGCCATTGAATACGCGAATATACAATGCTTCATCGATACGAAATTAATTTAAAATGTTACCAGAGATATGGCGATCTTGTATGGCGCCTGGGGTAGAGCGGGCTCCTCCAGGATTCTTGGCACAAATCTATTCCGAAGTTTCTCCACACAGTACAGAAGTATTGTATGGATTACATCATACTTTGTACTGGATAACAAGTTTTATGTCTATGGTGGCCCATTTCATTATGTTTCACACATAATGAAATGGTCCACCATAGGCTCTTTCCTGGCTGGAGGATTCATTGAAATTTAGCTAATCTTTCTAAAAACACAGAGCCGGCCCTTCTGTTTATTCTTTCGTGTAATCCAAGAACAGATCGACTGAAAAGAGAGTGCTCGGAAATATCACCGTTACGACAATAAACTCCACCCGGTTGCTTCGCAAACACCCGAAGAATCAAGATTCACAGCCATTTGATCTTATCAGGAAAAATTACGCGTATGTTAGTGTTTATTATTTAATATCTCAGAATGGGGTAAATTTTGAAAACCGAAATTTGGCACACTTCGTAGGGTTTAAGCTGCATTAATGCTCTGGTTAAAGTTCGAATAGGCGAAGAGATAGAGGAGTGTCGTGTGTAATATATAAGTTAAAAGCGTAGTTGTATCATATTTGCATATTATAAGATAATTATATTTACATTTACAATTCATTTATCTGTATTAAATTATACTTACGACTTTCTATAAAAATGCTTCATTTACGTTCGTTATTTACATTTATTATTAAGTTTTTATAATAAAGTAATAAATAAAATAAACTTACGGAATAAATATCCTGAAACTATTTAAGTTGCAATTAGATTTTGGAAGAGAATTATGAACTTTAATTTGTAGGCGTTATAGTTGATATACTTATCAAATCTTACAAAGTTCAAATGTAATGTTAAAAGATTAGCGTGTTCACTATTTTATTTTTTAATTTTATTTTACTATGCTTTAAGTGTAATAAATGTGTAAGAATTCTTCTTAAATAATTAATGTTACGTTTCTGAATTTTTCTGTGCTTTTAATCTACAATCGACCCCCCTATAACACTGTTGATTATTCCGTTTTATATGAATTCCGTGTTGTACGAATCACTTAGATTTTACAAATACGTGTACCGGGCTGTGAACGGCTCACGTATTTGTAAAATCTAAGTGACTCGTACAACATGGAATTCATATAAAACGGAATAATCAATAGTGTTATAGGGGGGTC